CCCACAGCGGCCCCCTACTGCCTTAGTCGGTCATCACTGCCTAACAGCGATGCGTCAGGGTTCTGATTCCTGCGACCCGGGTTCGAATCCCGGTGGAACCTCTTCTTCTTTTTTGATTTTCTATTTAACAAACAACACACCTCCACACCTCCATCTTTTTTTATTTATACAAACAACACACCTCCACTCCACGATTCTAAATTACACGAAGCTCTACTACTCACTACCCCACACGGGGAGGGCAGTACTACTGCCCCTCCCGGGCCCTGAGAGCACCATACCCGCTCGGCTGGCGTAGGTCTCTCATGGCCGGCCGCGCGAGCGACGGCCGACGACGCCGGCTTGGGAGCACAAAACCCCTCAATCCCCTCAAGCTCGAGACGATGATGCTCTCCGCCGCCGCGCGCGCCACCGCAGCGCTGCGCATCACCGCGCGCAAAGCAGCGCCGCGCCTCCTCGTGCCGCCAGCGATCGCCACAACAACGCTCGTCATCACGCACAACACTACACACAACAACGCCGCCGCGCAACAACTCCGACAACCAAAGCTCCACCTCCTCCGCCCCGACCGCTTCGGCGTCGTCGTCCCCCACGGCGGTTGGCGCCTCTGGTGCTTAGTCACGCGCCGCCTCGCGCGCTGGCTCGCGCTCTTCGGTCCCGTCGCGTGCTGGGCGCCCGCGGCGTACGTCCTCGGACTGCGACGGCTGCGGCGGCTCTGGTTCGCGCACCTGCTCTGGGCGACGGAGGCCGCGGGCCCGACGGTGACGAAGCTCGCCCAGTGGTCCGCGACGCGGCGCGACGTCTTCCCCGCCGCCTTCTGCGACCACATGGAGCGGCTCCAGGACGCCGCGCGACCGCACGGCCGCCTCGACAGCGAGCTCGCGCTGCTCGACGCGCTCGGCGCGGGCTGGCGAAATCGCGTCGCCATCGAGCCGGAGCCCGTCGGGAGCGGCGTCGTCGCCCAGGTCCACCGGGGCGTCTACGAGGGGCGGCGCGTCGCCGTGAAGCTCGTGCACCCGGCGACGCGGCGCGCCGTGTCCGAGGATCTGGCGGTGCTCGCGTTTCTCGCGCGCGCCGCGGACGGCCTCGCGCCGTCCATCGCCAAGTTCCTCGACCCCGTGGGCCTCGTCGACGACTTCTCGGAGAAGATGGGGCGGAGCTCGAGCATGGAGTTCGAGGCGGACGCGCTGCGGAAGCTCCGGAAAAACTTTTCGCGCGAGGCGGGCGTCGCGATCCCCGAGCCGCGCCTCGCGGTGTCGAAGCTGCGCGCGCGCGCATAGCAGCTGATCGTCACGGCGGCGAGGGCCCAGTAGGCCGCGTGGCGCCGGCCGGACAGCTCCACACCCTCGCAGGTTCCTCGCGCGGCGCGGCGCGCTGGTCGAGTCCTTCGAGGACGGCCTGCCGCTGGCGGAATGTCTGCGGGCGCTCGAGGGCGCGCCGGAGGCCAAGGCGGCGAAGCGGGCCATCGCGGCGCGGGGCCTCCGCGCGCTGCTGAAGATGCTCTTCGTCGACAACTGCGTCCACTGCGACATGCACAGCGGGAACCTGCTCGTGCGGCCCCACGGCGCCGACGTCGCCGCGTCCGTCGCCCGGGGCGCCTTCGACCTCGTGATCCTCGACGCGGGCCTCACGCTCGAGCTCGAGCGGCGCGACCTCGTCAACTTCGTCGACCTCTTCGCGGCCGTCGTGCGCCGCGACGGCCGGGCCTGCGGCCACCTGCTGCTGGACCGCGCGCGCTACCACGAGTGCGACGACCGCGAGGCCTTCGCCGCGGACGTCGACCGCCTGATCAAGGCCGCGACGTCCGCGTCGGACGCGGGCCTCTCCGTCGTCACGCTCGGCGAGCTCGACATCGGCCGCCTCCTCTTCGAGGTCCTCGACGTCTGCCGGCGCCACCGCGTGCGCCTCGAGGCCAAGTTCGCGACGACGGTCGTCGCCATCACCATCGTCGAGGGCATCGGCCGCAACCTCGACCCGGACCTGGACCTGCTCCGCGAGGCCGCGCCGTTCCTCCTCAGCCGCGCGGCGCTTAAGGCCATCTAACGGGCGCGGCGCGGCGGCGGGGGAGCGGAGTCGGCGCTGCTTCGTGGGTCGCCGCTGCACTCGAACCCCGCGGGGTCGGCGCACACGTCGCCCGCGGTCTCGACGAACAGCAGCCCGAGCTTGCGGAGCAGGTCGCACTTCGCCCGCCAGCCGAAGCGGAAGTTCGCGTGGAAGGCGAGGAGCGCGCCCCGGCGCACGGCGTCGCGCGCGAACGCGCCGCGCCGGCCGGAGACGAACAAATCCTGGTTCGCGACGACGAGTTTCGGCCGCCGCGCGCCGAGGAACGACGTCGCGTTCGCGGGCCGCCAGGCGTCCGGCGCCGCGCTCCCCGCGCCGCCGGCGTCGTAGGCGCAGGCCGCCCCGCGGAGCGCCGCGACGAGGCTCGGCTGGTTCGCCCTGTGTTCCCAGATCGCGCCGCAGTCCGCGAACCAGGCCTCGAGCGCGGCGTCGACGGCGCCGCCGCGCGCCCGCGAGTACAGGAAGCCGCCGTTGACGCTGTCGACGCAGCGGTGCGCCGCGCAGGCGTCGAAGTCGTAGGCGAACTTTTTCTTCGGCGCCGCGGCGCGCGCGAGAAAGGCCGCGCCGTCGACCGCGTAGCGCGCCATGGCCGGCGCCTCCTTGCGCTTGCAGGGCCGCGACCGCGGGTCCACGCGCGGCGAGTCGGCGAAGGCGACGGCCTCGATGTTCGCGTCGCCGAAGCGCGCGTCGAAGTACGCGGGCACGTCGCCGAGCCAGACCTGCGCGGAACTCAAATCTTCAACCCTGAGACCATTTTGACGCGAGCTCTTCTGCCGTGCTTCGAGACCTCGACGGGAGCAATCGAGTCGTCCAAAAATCAGCCGAATCGACTTCTGGAGTTTCCGGTTCCCCGCCGCGTCCGTCGCTCTCGACGGTACCCCGAATCACGTTTCGGCGGCCCCGGGCCGCGGACGACGTCGGCGTCCTGCGTGAGCGCGGGGGCGCGCAGGGCCGCCGCCGCGTGGGGCATGAGGGCCTTGACCGCGGCGAAGCGCGCGTACGCCGACGACTCGAAGGGCGCGTCGCGCGCCGCGTCGCCGTCCGCGAGCGCCGCGGACACGTCGACGACCTACCAAGCACGTCGGTCATGATTTTCCATCTCTCGAAAACCGTCACAACCGCGGGACGCCGTCGACGACGCGGACCGCGGGCCAGCGGCGCCGCACGTAGGCCGCGACGGCGCCGTCGGCGGCCCAGGCGACGACGTGCGCGAGCAGGCGCCGCCTACCAAGTACGTCGGTCACGAGTGTTCATCACCCGACATCTCTCGAAGGTCGTCGCGACGGCGCGACGCCGGGCCGCGCGTCCGCGGCCGGGCCGCGAGGCCGCAGAGGAAGTTGCCGAGGAGCACGCGGTGCGCGTCGTTCGCGAAGACCTGCACCGCCGGCGCCGGCGCGGCGGCGAGCGCCTCGCGGAGCCGGGGCCAGAGGCCGCCGGCGTCGAGGTCCGCGGCGAGCGCGGCGCAGGCCGCGGTGCCGTTGGCGCTCGACGTCGGCTTCAGCGCGCCGAGCGCCGACGGGCCGGCCTGCACGACGACGACGAGGCACGCGAGGAGAAGATGCGCATCGCGGCGCATGCGACGAGCAGCAATTCACAAGCTCACAACCATGGTGTTCGCATCATCGAGGGCAGCACCTGGTGAACATCATCGAGGGCAGCACGGTGAACATCCGATCCGTATCATCGAGGGCTGCCACATTTCGATTGCGTCTCTCCTGGTTGCGCGGGCTGCTCTCGTCGCGCGGGCCACAGACCATGGTGCGGGGGGCGAAGGGCGCGGCCGTCGGGGCCGCGGGCCTCGTGGCCGTGGCGATCTTCGCCGTGTCGACGAGCTCGAGCGCCGCGGGCGCCGCGAGCGACCTGCTCAAGGCGTCGGCGTCGACGCTCTACGGCGCCTTCGGCGGCGAGCCGACGGACCTCGCGTCCCTCTACCGCATCGAGGCGGGCTGCGAGGAGTCGCGCCGGGCCCTCCAGTCCAAGCAGGGCGCGCCCTGGCAGAAGGGCGGCGTCGGGGGCGCGGAGATGACGGCGGCCGTCGCGACGGCGGCGCCGACGCTCACCGAGTACTGGACCGTGCTCTGGACCGAGGGCACTTCCGAGCTGTCCTACGTCTGGGTCATGGACCACCAGGACGCGGGCATCTCCGCCTACGTCCTCGTCGACACGACGGGCAAGGCCCAGGGCGTGACGCTCGCTTCCAACGACACGACGGTGAACTTTGTGGCCGAGAACGGCGCGGTCTACAAGGCGGACATCTCCGGCTTCGACGTCACGGAGATCCTCGACTACTGCGACTCTTCGAACATCGGCACGGACGGGTCGAGCGACTGCGCGGGCATGGGCCTCGACTACTGGGACTACACGGGCCAGCTCTACTTTGTGGACGCGAATCTGGGCTACCTCATGGCCTGCGACTACGACGGCGGCAGCGCCGAGATCTTGGTCAAGGGCATCCCGGACCCCTACGGCGTCGCCGTGGACAAGAAGACGGGGTTGGTGATCTTCACGGGGGAAGGGGCGATCTACGCGACGCACTACGAGTCCACGGATTTGACGATCACCGAGGTCACGACGTTCCTCTCGCCGTCCTACTACGTCACGGGCGTCGCCATGGACAGCGAGAACGGCTACGTCTACTGGACGGGCGACGACAAGGTCTACCGCGACACGATCTTGAACACGCAGATCGAGACGGTCTACGGCGACGTGCCCGGCGCCAAGTCCGTGTCCGTCGACTGGGAGCAGGACCTCCTCTTCTACACCGACGACTACGGCGTCCACCTCGGCAACTTGGACGGCTCCTCCGACGCCGAGACCATCGCCTACCTCTACAACACGACCTTCGTCTACATCCACTACGAGACGACGCCGACGCCCGCGCCGACGAGCCTGCCGACGTCCGAGCCTGAGCGGAAATCAAAATCTTCAACCCGACTTCAATGTGCGCGTATTCGAACGGTTTGGACCAGAATCTTCGACTCTGCTTCGAGAGCTCGACGAGAGCGATCGATTCGTCCAAAAATCAGCCGAATCGACTTCGATTTGACCGAGCTAGAGATTTCTGAAGTTTGGCCCCGACGTCCCAAACCAGTGGCTGATTGATTTCCACACAGGTCCGAGCCCACGTTCGCGCCGTCCGACAAGCCGAGCGCGGCGCCCACGGGCCTACCCTCGACGCAACCGTCGTTCGCGCCGACGTCGTACCCGACGCCGAGCCCGACGGGCCTCCCGACGTCGGAGCCCACGTTCGTGCCCACGAGCAAACCGTCGATCGAGCCGACCTCGCTGCCGACGAGCAAGCCCAGCGCCGTCCCGACGTCGAGGCCCAGCGCCACGCCTACATCCAAGCCGACGCATTCCCCGGTACCTGCCCCCACGTCGGTCCCCACGTCGGCCCCGGTCCCGTTTCCGACTTCCGTGCCCACGGCGGGACCGACGAGCGCGCCGACGGAAGAGCCCAGCGCCTTCCCGACGCCGTCGCCGACGGCTCTGCCCGTGCCCAAGCCTTCGGCTGTGCCGATCCCCCAGCCCACGGGGATCCCGATCCCGGCGCCGACGCCGATCCCGAGCCCGGAGCCCTCGTCGGCGCCGTCCCCGGCGCCGTCGCTGTTCCCCACGTCGGCCCCGACGGGCGAGCCGACGGCGATCCCGACGAGCCGGCCGACGCCGATCCCGGTGCCGCTGCCCACGGCTCTGCCCACCGAGCCGCCGACGCCCTACCCGTCGCCGGCGCCCTCGACGATCCCGACCTCGGAGCCGACGAGCTACCCGACGGGCGTGCCCGTCCCGCAGCCGACGCCGAGCCCGACCACCACCTGCATGTGGTGGAAGACGGAGTGCGACCTCTGCAACTGCGCCACCGGCCACGCGGTCGTCTCCTAGGCGCCCATTCCCCCCGTCGGCCGACGCCTCGGCCGCATCGACGCGTGCGTGACCCCGCGCGCGCTTCCTTCCCGTTTCCTTCTTAACTCCAACATCGATTCAACAAATTCTACGTTGAACCATCGACAACCTCGAATCACACAGTCCTCGTCCGCCATCTCCACCGCCAAGAGAAAAGAGGTCTTTTGCCCTCGGCCGCCAGCGACTCCCATGGAGGAGAAGCAGCAGCAGCGGTTCCTCAAGCTCAAGAACAAGATCGATGCGCTCGCGGCGAAACGCGCCGCCACGTCGGACCCCGAGGCCCTGGCGGCCATCGACGCGGAGCTCGCCGCCGCGCGGGCCAAGGTGAAGAAGGCGCGGCGCGTCGGCGCCGACGGCGCGACGAAGGAGTGCGCCGTCTGCGGCGCGCCGACGGCGCGCACCGTGAGCGTCAAGGGCGCGACGGTCTACTGGTGCTCGATGGCGTGCCAGCGCGTCGGGTGGAAGGCCGCCAAGGCGGGCCTGCCCCAGCCAAACCAGAAGAAGAAGCTTTTGTCCGAGAAGGCGCCGGAGCCCGAGAAGACGTACCCCACGGAGGCCGCGGACGAGGACCTCCGGATCCAGCCGAAGATGGAGCGCCTCCGGCCCAAGACCAAGGAGGTCGACTTCGGCGTCCCGCGGCCGAGAGTTTTTGACCGGGAAAACGATGAACCATCGTGACCGACGTGCGTCGTAGGTCGACTTCGACTACACGCCGCACAAGATCGACGACGCCGCGGGCCTGCCCGCGGTCGCGGCGGACTCGGCGATCAACGCGAGCTCCTACTACTACGCACACCAACAGCACCAGAAGGTGACGCACAAGGTCACGACGGGCCCCCAGCGCATCGACCCCTCCAAGGGCGACGTCGGCCCCGCGGCGCTGCCCCGCGTCGAGGTGTTAGGCGGTGCGCCGGCGAGCCTGTCGAAGCCGTCGGACTGGGACGCCTGGCGCGCGTCCGAGGTCGCGTTCCGCAACGTCGACCGCGCGCGGCTGCGGAGGCGGCTCGCGCCGGCGGAGCCGCCGCTCGCGCCGGGCGAAATCGACGGCACGGTCGCGCCGGACTCGGACGACGAGTTCGAGGACGACCTCGAGATCGAGGAGGTCGCCGTGTCGGCCGAGGACATGGCGCGGCTCCGCGCGGGCGGCGCGAGCGACGACGACGACGACGACGACCTGTTGGTCGAGGAGGTGCAGCTGTCGCCGGAGGAGGTCGAGAAGCTGCGCGCCGGCGACGACGACGACGACGACGACCTGCTGGTCGAGGAGGTCCAGATGTCGCCGGAAGAAGTCGAGAAGCTGCGCGCGGGAGAAGAGAGCGACGACGACGACCTGCAGATCGAGGAGGTCCAGATGTCGCCGGAGGAGGTGGAGAAGCTCCGCGCCGGCGAGGAGAGCGACGACGACGACCTGCAGATCGAGGAGGTCCAGATGTCGCCGGAGGAGGTGGAGAAGCTCCGCGCCGGCGAGGAGAGCAGCGACGACGATTTGCAGATCGAGGAGGTCCAGATGTCGCCCGAGGAAGTCGAGAAGCTCCGCGCGGGCGAGGAGAGCAGCGACGATGACCTGCAGATCGAGGAGGTGCAGATGTCGCCGGAGGAAGTCGAGAAGCTCCGCGCGGGCGAGGAGAGCAGCGACGACGATTTGCAGATCGAAGAGGTCCAGATGTCGCCCGAGGAAGTGGAAAAGCTCCGCGCGGGAGAAGAGAGCAGCGACGACGATTTACAGATCGAGGAGGTGCAGATGTCGCCCAAGGAGGTCGAGCGGCTGCGCGAGGACGCGGCGAAGGACGAGCTCCGCGAAAAGAAGGCGGCCAAGAAGAAGGCCGCGGCGCGGCCGGGCGGCTTCGCCGCGGGCGACCGCGTCGAGATCTGCGGCCTCGTCGCCGCCTGCGTGGAAATCATATCTTCAACCCGACTTCAACGTGAGCTTATTTGAAAGCTCATCGGCTGTGCTTCGAGAACTCGACGAGAGCAATCGATTCGTTCAAAACTCAGCCGAATCGACTTCGATTTGACCGAGCTAGAGAACTTCAAAGTTTGGTCGGGACGTCCCAGCTCACTGGTTGATTCGCACACAGGTCGCCGCCGCGAGCCGCAACGGCGCAAAGGGCACGGTGGAGCGCCGCGCGGGCGCGCGCTACGCCGTGGTCCTCGACGACGGCGCGCGCCTCGGCGCGAAGCCCGAGAACCTGCGGCGGCTGGCGGACCCGGCGGCGCCGCCGGCGAAGCCCGCGAAGCCCGCGCCGGCGCCGGTGCCGGCGGCGGCCGCGGAGCCGAAGCCCGCGGCGCCGCCGGCGACCAAGGGCATGTGGGGCGACATGGTCAGCGACCTCAGCGCGGCGCCGGACAAGGCCCCGACGACGTCGACCTTCGTGCCCATGTCCGCGAGCCGCCCCTTCGGCTTCGGCACGCGGCGGTTTTGAGCGGGGGCCTCCAGATGGCGGCTTAATTTTGCACCGGCTCCCTGGACGCGGCTTCTCGCGGGGAACCGCAACACTCCTAACAGCTGGACAATGAACATGTGCAGCGACTCTCGTGCACTGCGGACGACAGGCGTCTACCGCGGTGTGACCTGGCAGGAAAGACAAGTAGGATATGTATGTACTCCAGTTTTAAATGATACCTATTATAAAAATAACGGTTGGTCGACACCAAAGAATGATGACATTCCCGTCGACGATTGGAACGCTTTATATTATTATGAGGCAGATCCGAGGGACCCATTATCATATGAGGTATTTCTGTCTGTCGATTTAGGGAATTCGTATGAACTATCAGAGGAACACGGACGCCGCCCTCGAGGACCTGTTCTCGCCGCGCCCGCCGAACGTCACCGCCGGCGACAACCCCGTCGCCCCGAAGCACCGCGTGCCGTTCTACGCGGGCGGCCTCGCGAACACCATGAATGCGGGCCTCGCCGTCGGCGTGGCCGTCTCGGCGGACCTGCTCGGCCTCGACGGCAACTTCTCCGCGGCGTCCATCAGCCTCGCCTCGTACGCGCCCACCGAGGACTACGTCTTCGTCGAGGATCCGCTCGGCTCGACGACGGACGGCCCGGTCTTCTTCCGGGACCACTTCGACTCCTCGCTGACCGCGTACCCGCAGCTCGCCCCCGCCTTCGGCGGGCAGACGCCCTCCCTCTGGGGCCCCAACTCCTACAACGCCTCGGAGCTCGGCCTCTCGGCGCGCTGGGTCGCGTCCGTCGGCATCCCCTACGACCCCTGCGACGAGGACGGCGACCCCAAGTTCATGGGCCTCCCGAAGGCCTGCTTCCACCTCCACCAGGCCTCCCCCCACACGGTCAACGGCCAGAACTTTCCCTTCTACAAGCCCCTCAAGGACGGCACGCTCGACTTCTTCGGCGTCTGCGACACGACCGAGGTGAGCGCGAACGAGTACCTCTCCAGCGGGACGTTCGCGCAGCAGTTCAGCTTCGAGGACTGGTTCGCCTTTCAACAGGCGACCATCGCGGCCGGCGGCTTCTACCTCCCGACCACCCGCGCGTGGGGTCTCCACCTCTGCATCGACCCGACCGATCCGTCGCGCCCGTACCCTTGCACCAGCATGTGGACGGAGACGATCAACAGCGACCTGTCGGACTCCATGATGGTCGATCCGCTCTGGTTCGTGCACAACCCCGTCCAGGACGCCGCGGCGCTCTGCGAGGCGCACCGGGCGGGCCTCTGCAACGCCACGAACGCCCACCCGCTCGTCACCGGGTCGAACGAGACCCGCTACGAGTACCCCGTCGACGTCCCCATGCGCTGGTCGCCCTACCCGGCGGTGCCGATCCCCGATCCATGGCCCCCGGCCACGGACATGCCCACGGCCAAGCCCACGCCCGCGCCCACGGCCAAGCCCACGGCCAAGCCCACGCCCGAGCCCACGCCCGCGCCCGTGGCCACGGCCCGCAAGCCCAAGGTCCGGGGCTGCGGCCGGGCCGCGCTCGCGGAGGAGAAGAAGTGCAACAAGAACAAGCGGTGCAAGTGGGTCTTCGGGTCGCACGCGTGCATGTCCGACTGCGCGCTCGCGAGCAAGTCCAAGTCCAAGTGCAACCAGAAGAAGCACTGCAAGTACAACAAGAGCGCTAAAAAGTGCAAAAACAAGAAGCACGTGTGCAAGTACAAAACGAAGAAGGCGCACTGCCGCGCGGACGAGTCCTGCGGCGTCAAAAAGGGCAAGGACCCGAAGTACGACGCCAAGGGCAACCGCGTCATCAAGTGCCGCACGCGCAAGGACTAGTCGCGACAAGCGCGACAAGCACGACGCCGGCCGCTAGTCTCGACAAGCGCGACAAGCACGACGCCGGCCGCGCGCGCCCGCGAGGCGCGCCGCCGCCGGCGTCGACCGGCCCGGCCTCGCGGACCTCCGCGCCCCCCCCGCCGCCGCCGCCGCCGCCCGCGCGCCGCCCCGCGCGCCGCGCGAGCTAACGCCGCCGCCCCCATCATCGAGAAGCAGGCGAGACGATTTGAGTCTTAGACCTAGTACCCGCGGCCCTTAGTCTGAGCCGCGGCGGTCCGCCGGCACGCGGACGAGGTCCGCGAGGCCGTATTCCACGGCCTCCGCGGCCGAGAAGTGCTTGTCGCACGCGGTCTCCGCGCTGATTTCCGCGGCATCGCGCCCGGTGAACGTAGCGAGGTCGTGGAAGAAGTCCTGATTGAGGCGTCTGAGTTCTTCCACCGTCACTTCGAGGTCCTCCGCCTGCTTCTTGGGGCAGAAGTCCTCCGCAACATCGCCTACAAGCCACGGTCTCGACTCGCGAATCCCGTCAGCTTCCGCGCGGGGACCGCGCCCCCGGAGAAA